GCTGTTCATACCTTTCTTGAAGTCCTCTGAGATTTTCTTTATGTAGTTGGGTGCTTCTATGTTGGGTGCATATATATTTACAATATTTATGTCTTCTTGATGGATTCTTCCCTTGAGTATTATGAAGTGACCTTCTGGGTCTCTCTTTAAGGACCTTTTTTGGAAATCTATTTTGTCTGAAATGAGTATTGCTACCCCAGCTTTTTTTTCCTGTCTATTTGCTTGGAAGACTTGTTTCCAACCCTTCACTTTCAGCCTGTGCAGGTCTTTTATCCTGAGGAGGGTCTTTTGTAGGCAGCATATGTGTGGGTCATGTTTTCTTATCCAATCAGCTATTCTGTCTTTTGATCGGAGAATTTAATCCATTTACATTTAAGGTTATTATTGATAGGTACTTATTCATTGCCATTTATGTACGTGTGTTCCTCTCTCTCTCTCTTTTCCTTCCCTTCCTTAAAGCAGTCCCTTTAGCATCTCTTGCAGAGCTGGTTTGGTGGAGGTGTATTCTTTTAGACTTCTTTTGTCTGGGAAGCTTCTTATTTGGCCTTCTATCTTGATTGATAGCCTTACTGGCTAAAGTAGCCTTGATTGCAGACCTCTGGTTCTCATTACTTGGAATATTTCTTGCCATTGTCTTCTGTCTTGAAGTGTTTCCATTGAGAAGTCAGCTGTTAGCCTTATTGGGGCTCCCTTGTATGTTACTTTCCTGTTTCTCCCTTGCTGCCTTTAAGATTCTCTCTTAGTCTTGAAAGTTTGCCATTTTAATTATGATGTGTCTTGAGGGGGTCCTCTTTGGGTTCCTCTTGATTGGGATTCTCTGTGTTTCCTCAATTTGTGTGACTTTTTCTCTCATCAAATTAGGAAAGTTTTCCCTCATTACTTTTTCAAATAGGTTTTCAATCCCTTGCTCTTCTTCTTCTCCTTCTGGTATCCCTATTATACAGATATTATTACGTTTCATATTGTCTTGCATTTCTCTTAATCCCTCTTCATTTTTTCTTAGCCTCTTTTCCTTTTCTTGCTCTGTCTGGGTGTTGTTTTCTACTTTGTCCTCTAGCTTACTAATCCAGTCTTTTGCTTCATCAATCCTACTTTTCATTCCTTCTACTCTGTTCCTCAGTTCAGAAATGGCATTCTTCATTTTCTCTTGGCCTTTGTTGAGAGTTTCTATTTCCTTTTTTATGTTTATATAGTTTGCAGTGAGATTGTTGTAGCTTCCCTCTAATTTCTGATAGCTCATTGTGAGTTCATTGAACTTCCTGATAATCATTGTTTTGAACTCAATGTCTGATAGTTGAGTTGCCTCTTTTTCATTTAGCATTTTTCCTGAAGCTTCCTCCTTTCCCTTCAATTGGGGATTGTTTCTTTGTTTTCTCATTGTTCATGGGTTTCCTCTTGTTAGCCTCTATTTCTTAAATTGATCTGTTCTGGTTCCCTGTAATTATGGTGTGAACTTCTATGGTAGAATACTTGTGAGATTCAGTGGTGCAGTCTCCTTCATGTATCCTGGTTTTCACAACTTCCTCCTACTCTTTTTTGTGACCATTTGAAGGAGTAAGGCAAAATGGTTTCAGACAGCAAGACAGTATACTATGATATTTACATTAGCAGCCAGTAGAGAAGAGATGGGTTATATTTTGGCTCCTTATAGTGTTAACCGTGATCCTCCACCCCACTAGCCATGCTTTAGAAAGGATGGAAATAAGATAAGACTCTTATTGGGGACGAAAGGATTGTTAGTTGGAACTAGCAAGCTGTGAGGCTGTGGGAGGTCAGATTCCAAGGTAGGATTGGAATAGAGTAATAAATAGGAGTAGTGTGTAAAAGAATAGAGACAACCCCCACAATAATATATTTCAGGAAATTGCAAAGTGGCCTGAGATTAGGTAGGGGTATTGAGTAGTATTTACAATTGTATGAACTAGGTCTTATTAACAGTAATAGTAAAGCGACAGTCTTGTGGTAGAATTGATGAGATCCAGATAATAAGAATAAGGAGTATAGAACCTTGAGAGGTGTATTAATGGAACACAGATGAAGGATAGTACATTATGAACACACTGTGACTGAGATACCAGGGGGAACCTATCAAATGACAGTATAACCAGCCAAACAAAGAAGATTATACAAAAAGAAAAAGAATACCAAAATACTATTAAAATAAAAATGTCGGAAAAGTGAGAAAAAGATTATACGAATTTACTGTAACTTGCAAGATCAAAAAAAAAAGGAAAAAAAGCAGAAGATGGAGTGCAGGAGAGATAAATTTGGAGTGGAAGGAATAATACTAGGATGAATGGAAGAGAAACATAAGGGATTGAGAGATATAAAAAATAATAAGAATTGAAAAATAAAATGTCACTTAAAACACAAGATAAAATCAATCAACCAACTACAGCCACAGAAACAAAACAAAACAAAACAAAGAAAAACAAAACAAAGCAAAACAAAACAAACAAAACAAAACAAAACAAAAAAACCTCTTGTTGGTTTCTAACTGGCCAGACCAGTTTTTCCGATCTTGCTGGGTTCAGCTGGCTGAGGGACTTTTGAAATGCTTATCACTCTTTCCCAGCCAAATCTCAGTAAGTCTTTCAGGTACTATCCCCAGGGCCAATCTGACTTTCCCCTACAGGACCCTGGGTGCTCCCAAGCACACTCACTCTCTGGAGCTCACTGCTGAGTTCTCCTGGGCTCCGGGGTCCCCACAGCGTTCCCAATCTATGATCTCAGGAAGCACCCGGGATGTTTTGGGATTCACTGAGCCTTGATCATAAAAGAACATGCCCATCCACCAAATTTTTGAATTTTGGGCTCTAGGAATGCACTAAGCACTGTGTCCCTTCCGGGTTCACAGTGAGAGAGTCAGGATTTCCCATGGGGCGCGCTTCCACAGTTCAGCACCGCAGGCTCCAGAAACCTGAGAACGCCCATGCCCTTTCCTGGATCGGGGCTGCGATGTCTGCGTTTTCCACCAATCCACACTCCCACCGGGCTAGGAGTGCAGGCGCACTTCCAGGCTGCCCCTGGTCATGCCGACTAGAGGCACTCACTTCTCCCATGGCTCTGGGTGGGTGTTCACAGACCCTGGATGATTTTTTCTCCAGTCCAACTGGCCTCTCTGTGCCTTCAAGCAACAAGGTCTCCCCTGGTGTTGCTCAACCCCCATATTCCCAGGAGGGAGCAGCTACTCCCCTCTCCCAGGAGCCCTGAGGCAGACCCAGGAGCACCAAGCCTGGGGACTGCAACCCCCCTGATCCCCGCGCTGATCCCTGGGTCCCTTTTGTCCTGAAGCAGTCTCCTTACCATCTGGTTTTTCAATGATTGCAATAATTTTTGATGTCCTCTTTTCAAAAATGTTTCGGTAACCTAGGCCACTTGCTCTGTTTCTCCACCGATCCGCGAGTTTCCCTCCTCTTCACAGAAGCCAAGAAACATGCTGCCTAGAGTAAAGCCGCCATTTTTCCAGGTCTCCATTAGTTTGTTCTTTATGTCTATGACTCTGGTTCTATTTCACTCATTTGGTTTCTTTATTAGGTTCACTTATAGGTGAGATCACATGATATTTGTCATTGGGCTTTCTAAAAATTAAACTTATTGGGGTAACATTGGTTCATAACATCATATAAGTATCAAGTATACAATTTTATGATACATCATCTGGGTATTGCATTGTGTGCTCACTGCCCAAAGTATAGACTCCTTCTGTCACCGTATATTTACTCTTTACTCATTTTGTTCTCTCCCTATATGTTTCCCCTGTGGTAACCACCATACTATTGTCTGTGTTTCTGAGTTAGTTTGTTTTGTTTGTTGGTCTGTTCCTTTCTGTTTTATACCCCATATATTTGTAAAGGCATATGGTTCTTGTCCTTTTTCATCTGACATTTCATGTAGAGTTATATCCTCAAGATCCATTAATGTTGTAAATGGTTATATTCCATCCTTTTTATGGTTGAGTAGTATTCTATTGTATATATGTATCACATTTTCTTTTATAATTTTTAAGATTTTTTATTTATTTATTTTTAGAAAGAGGGGAAGAGAGGGAGAAGGAGAGGGAGAGAAACATCAATGTGTGGGTGCCTCTTACTCCACCCCTCTAGGGACCCAGCCTGCAACCCAGACATGTGCTCTGAATTGGAATCAAACCAGCACCCCCCAGTTCATAGGTGGACACTCAATCCACTGAGCCACACCAGCCAGGGCATGTAGCACATCTTCTTTACCCAATTATCCATCAAAGAACACATAGGTTGTTCCCATGTCTTTAAAACTGCAAATAATGCTGTAATGAACAAATGCATACATATATCTTTATGAATAAGTGTTTTCAAAATTTTGGGGTATATACCCAGAACATGGATTGCTGGGTCATATGGGTAGCTCCATTCTTAGTGTATTGAGGAGACTCCATACTGTTTTTCACAGTGGTGGTACCATGTTTACATTCTGATCAGCAGTGAATGAGGGTTTGTCTTTCTCCACAATCTCTCCAACACTAGCTATGTCTTACCTTGTTGATAATAGCCTTTCTAACACATGTGAAATGGTATCTCATTTTGCTTTTGATTTGTATTTCCCCTGCAGCTAGTGAAGTTGAGCATCTGTAAATATATTTGTTAGTCATTTGTATGTTTTTTAAAGTGCTGACATCTCTGTCCATTTTTATATTGTATTGTTTGTTTTTTGTTGAGTTTTATAAGCTCTTTATATATTTTGTGAATGAGTCCATTATAAGAGGTGTTGGCAAATATCTTCTTGTATTTGCTTGGTTTCTTTTTGTAGTGTTGATGGTTTCCTTTACTTGCAGAGCTTTTTCATTTGATGTAGTCCCATTCATTTATTTTTGCTTTTACTGTCCTTGCCTTTGGGATAAAGGTTCCTGAAACCTCTCTGAGACCAAAGTTAATAAGTTTATTATGTATGCTTTCTTCCACATATTTTACTTTATTTAAATCTTTAATCTAGACCCGCTGGGCTCCAAGGCAAGGGGCTGCATGGAGCTGCTGGCGTGGCTCTGCGGGCTGTGGGCGCTGCTCCTCTGCGCTGCCAGCTGTGGGAACACCGCGCCCATGGAAACTCAACCACCTGTGACAAATTTGAATGTTTCTGTTGAAAACCTCTGTATAGTAATATGAACATGGAATCCTCCAGAGAGAGCCAGCCTGAACTGTAGTCTATGGTATTTTAGTCATTTTGGCAACAAGCAGGATAAGCAAATTGCTCCAGAAACTCATCGTTCAAAAGAAGTGCCCCTGAACAAGAAGATTTGTCTGCAAGCAGGGTCTCAGTATAGCGCCAATGAAAGTGACAATCCTAGCACTTTGGTGGAAAAGTGCATCTCACCCCCTGAAGGTGATCCTGAGTCAGCAGTGACTGAGCTACAATGTGTTTGGCACAACCTGAGCTACATGAAGTGTACTTGGCTCCCTGAAAGGAACACAAGTCCTGACACTAACTATACTCTCTACTACTGGCACAGCAGCTTGGGAAAAATTCTTCAATGTGAAAACATCTACAGAGAAGGTCAACACAGTACTTGTTATTTTACCCTGACTAAACTCAAGGATTCCAGTTTTGACCAATACAGTGTTCAAGTCATGGTCAAGGATGATGCAGGGAAAATTAGACCATCCTTCAATATAGTGCCTTTAACTTCTCATGTGTAACCTGATCCTCCACATATTAAAAATATCTCCTTCCAAAATGGTGTGTTATATGTGCTAGGAAAGAATCCACAGAATTTTGGTAGAACTTGCTTATCTTATCAAGTGGAAGTCAATAACAGGCAAACTGAAGCACATTTTATTTTCTTAGATGAAAAACTCATGTGTGATAATTCAGAAATTGAGGGGAACCTGGAGGGTACAATTTGTTTCTGGGTTCCTGGTGTTCCTCCCGATACTGTGAACACAGTCAGAATGAGAGTCAAAACAAATACGTTTTGCTATGAGGATAACCAACTCTGGAGTAATTGGAGTCCAGCTATGACTATAGGTAAGAAGACTGATGCCACACTCTACACAACCATGTTACTCATCATTCCAATCATAGTTGCAGGTGCAATCATAGTACTCCTGCTTTATTTAAAAAGGCTCTAGATCATTATATTCCCTCCAATTCCTGATCCTGGCAAGATTTTTAAAGAAATGTTTGGAGACCAGAATGATGACACCCTGCACTGGAAGTATGACATCTATGAGAAGCAAACCAAAGAAGAAACTGACTCTGTAGTGCTGATAGAAAACCTGAAGAGAACCTCTCAGTGATAGGAATAATTTATTTTAACCCTCATCATGACTTTGTGAAGATTCTTCCCATTCTCCATTTGTTATCTGGGAACTTGTTAAATGGAAACCAAAACTGCTGGACTGCTTAAAAACAGGCAGCTTCTAAGAGCCACAGGTTTTTATGTTGTTGTGTACTGAAAAACTAAAAATAATTAGCCCTTTGGAGAAGAGAGTGGAATTATTCTCATTGAATTATAAAAGCAGGCATCTTTTGTGAAGGTTACAAACTAGGGGACAAAGCAAAAAATGATGACAGTAGAGTCGATCTTATCAAGAATTGTGACAGCAGCTGGAGGGATGGATCTATGCCTGCTTTGTATCATTTGTGTCAAACAATACCAACAAATTTTATTTGTGGGGGAACTCATTTTGGGGTGCAACTGTTAATGCCAAACTTGAGTCACAGAGAAGATCTAGCAAACATAATTGAAAAAATCTGTTATCTGTTGTTTGGGATCCCAGTAAGTAATGTTTGTGGCTATTAAAACTTAAGAGGCTGGAATCATTGTCCCTTTGGCAACATTTTTCTCTACTTTGAAAGGCCCAGACATCAGTGTTGGTTGGCCATGATGATGACACCTACAGACAAAGCAGAGACAGGTTCTGTTACCGGCACCTTTCAAAACCATTGCAGGCTTTTAAGAGCAGAGCAGCAGAGACAGAATGACTTATTGGATATTAGAGTTTGAACCACTGCATTCTGTAATGATATATTGTTTTTCTTCTTCACCTCCTCCACTCAGATCAAGTATTTTCTATGTGTCCAGACTGTGCTAGGCCCCCAGGGGTGAGGCATCTCTCTTAAAAGGGGTGAGGCACCCCCAGGGGTGGACAATCTGGTTGGGACTCCTCAGTTCTTAACCACTTTCTTTTTCTCCACCAGCCATTTTCTAGAACTTTCAACTCCCTCGTTCCCACACCTGATTTCCCCCTTTCCCTCATTGCAGTCTTTCACCTTTCAATAGATATTAGAATATAAATCTACTCAGAACACCTAGAGGAGCAGGGAGTGATTTGCAGCTCAGGTAAATTGTGAGTAGACTGAGAGTGACAAATTTTTGCATATTTTGTAACTTCTATGTGTCTGCATTTATTTGAAAGTTTTCAGCATTTACTGTTTCTCTACATATTTTCTAAACAGAAAGGAGATATCTTCACTTATAATTTTGTTATTTGCTTGATAAAAACAATAGTTTTATTTTCCTCTTTTTCCTTACTGTCACAAATAGTTATTAGTAGGTTTTATGGCTTATATAGATAGCCAGCATCCAAGGCTCCAACGTTTGTATGCATTTTTTTGCAGATGTTAGGGTTTCATTCTCACTCATCTCCACTACATATATATTCCCTCTACTCTTACTCCAAATTTAAAGTAGTATGGAAATGATGGTGCCCTCTCCCACACCCCGTGTTTCTCTCCTTACACACATAGACTCAGATTATGGGTAGGAACTTGATAAATTTGTATCACCCATTCTCCAAACATTCACCCATTTGTATTAATCAAGTGACACTACTTGTAATTCCTGCTGTTAGAGGATGGGAGATCAGAGATCTCTGCTCTTCACAAGTTCGGGGAAAAGCAGCAACCTGCTTGCACTGCAGAGGAGGAGTGTAGTGTCCCTGGCTTTTCTGAGAAAATTGGCATCCAGAGCAAGAGTAGATGCCAAGGTGTTCCCTCCCTGTGCTTTTATTTCTGAGATCAGATTGAGGCTGGGAGACAGGCATGAATGTTCCACTTTGTTCTACTGTTGTGTAAAAAACATTTACTTTTCCTTTGTAGGAATGAGATTCTTCCTAGCCAGGTCTTTTATAATTCTGGGAAGCAAAACACTGAAATACCTCACCCAAAGCCATTTTTCCTGTTACCCTATTTAAATAGCACTGGTGGGGGTGCTTTGATATTCTTATTACCCAAGCATGGGATGTTGACTATGAAGCGTCCTGGGAGTGTAGAAATTGTATTTTGTTTCCATTCTCTTTTAGTAGTAAAATAGTTGAGGGAAAAGGGGGCAGTGAGTTATTGGAGTAGCTAGCTATGGCTGTCTTATAATTGTTGAAAAGTGATCTCCAGGTCTTGGGAACTCTTGGAGACTTTAATACTGGGTGGAGTGAAAGTAGGTTTACAGTTGTTCATGTGGAAAATAATACAATAATTAATAAATAATAATACAAGAATAAACTGTGTTTCACATACTCACAACTGCTAACCTACTTTCCCTCCTACCCTGTACATCAGTGGGATTCTCATCACCTGTAGGAAACTAGTATGTTCATTTATTATTTTATGCCTAACCTATACAGATTGTTTTCGCTGTATACTTAAGTAAACCTACTGTAAGAATTTTTATTGTTATTCTTGCATTGAGATAAGTGTTTTCTTCATCTGGGCACTAAAGGGATATGTGAAACAGTGTTAACATTTTTGGTAATAACTTCAACTAGGGATCATTGTGTTTAACTTCTTATAGGAAAGTTTGAATAAAATAAATATTGTCTTTTTATATGTCACCCCCAAAAATCTTTAATCTATTTTGAATTTTGTGTATGGTGTAAGATAGCAGTCTAATGTCATTCTTTTGCACATGGCTTTCCAATTTTCCTAACATCATTGAAGAGGCTTATTTTTCTCTACTGAATTTTTTGGCTCCTTAGTTGAAAAATATTTGGCCATATACATAAGGGTTTATTTCTGGTCTCTCAATTCCATTCAATTGGTGTGCATATCTATTTCTCTGCCAACATCATACTGTTTTGATAATTGTAGATTTGTAGTATAATTTGAAGTCAAAAACTATTCTCTCATATTTGCTTTGGATATACAGGGGATTTTGTGGTTTTATAGAAATTTAATGATTTTTATTCTATTTTTTAAATTATGCTGGGATTTTAATATAGAAATTTCATTGTATCTGTATATTGCTTTAGCTAAAATGGTCTTTTTAACTATGCTGATTCTTCCAATCCATGTTTTTGTGTCTCCTTCAATTTCTTTCAACAATGTCATGTATTTTTCAGTGTATAGGTACTTCACATTTTTGTTAAGTTTATCCCCAGGTTTCTATTTATTTTTGTTGTAGTTGCAAATAGAGTTGTTTTCTTTTTTTGTTTTTCTGATATGTTATTGTTGATATCTAAAAATGCAACAGAGTTTTGTTTTGTTTTAATCCTCACCAGAGGCCATGCTTGTTAATATTTATAGAGAGGGGAAAGGAAAGACAGGGGGTGGAGAGAGAGAGAGAGATTTGAGAAAGAAACATCTATCAGTTGTCTCTCCTACACACCCTGACCAGGGATGAACCTCAAACCTACATATATGCTCAAAGAGGAGATAGAATCTGTGACCCTTTGGTCTATGGGATGACACTCTAACAAATTGAGCCACACTCACCAAGGATGCAACAGATTTTTGCACATTGATTTTTTGTACTGATTCTTACTGCTTCACTGATTTGTTTATTTCCTCAGATAGTCTTTTGCTGGAGTCTTCAACCAGAGTCTCAGTTCTGCTTTGGCTATAGATTAGGCAGTCATATCCAGGTTAGAGTTAGAAATAAAATTCTAATTGGAAAAAACAAGGTATTTTTCTCATATTAAAAGACAAAAAGTTCTTGAATTATGAGACATATGAAACTTAATCTTTCATTACTATCTGGAAGGACACATGTTTACATATATTTTCTAATGTAAAAAAAAGAATAATGATGAAAAGAGAAAAGAAGTGCACAAAGGTAAGAAAAAATGCTGAAAGAGGAGGGGTTCTGAAGATCAACATCTCCTGTTTTGTTATTTACCTTCATAACTTGTGTCTATATCAAAAGATGTGAATCATTTGACTCCAAAAAAGTAACTTATAAAATGTTTGTCCTTCTAACCCCCAAATTAAAATTTAAAATGATATGGTTGATGTATTTGGGTAAGACAATCAAGGTAACTTAATTTCAGTTTCTTTCTTCAAAAACTGAAAGAATACATTTGAGTGAAATTATGAACTTTCTGTTCAAGTGTATTTTAAAGTAAAGTGGTCAAATAAAAAAACACTATTCTTAATAAAAAATGGATGAATATAATTGATTTAACAAAATTATAATGTTTTCAATGACTAAGAGATTATGTTCAGGGCAGAAAACTGACATTTTGCCTTAATCAATGCACATTTTATTATGATCAATGTGATCTATTGTATTATGTAAGGCCTATTGAAAGTGTCTTAAATGAAGTTCAATCTATGAAATGTAACCCACTCTAGTTCAACTGAAATTTAACCTAAGTTAGGTACAATGCTCATTTAACATATAATTATTGAGTGTTTACAATGTATTAGGCACTTAGGAAGTACCAATCAAGGAAAAGTACCTTTTCCTTCCCTTTAGGCAGGGGTGTCAAACTCATTTTCACTAGGGGCCATATCAGCCTTATGGTTGCCTTTAAAGGGCCAAATGTAATTTTAGGACTGTATAAATGTAGCTACTCTTTAACAGTTAAGTGAGAGCTTGGCACTGCCACTGGATAGAAACAAGGTTCAAGGCTGGATGAAACAAGGTGGAAGGCTGTATTTGGTCTGCAGGCCTTTGCCCTCAGGCCTTTGGTCCACAGGTGTTTGCCACCTGTGCTTTAAGGTACGTAGTATGGAATAACCTGCTTAAATATTTGAATTAGTTTCAAGGGTATTTCAGTAACATTTAAGAAAATCACCTAGTTCTGTTACATTTTAAATAAAACTTCAGTTTGAAAAAATTAAACTTTCTAATTTTAATAAATGATTCCATTTGTTTCCTTTGTATCTCTATTTTTATTTTAATGTTTTTTATTGTTGTTCAAGTACAGTTGTCTCCATTTTCCCCACAACCATCCCCACCTCCCTCCCTTGATCCCTACCGTACTTTGGTTTTATCCATGTCTCCTTTATAGATGTTCCTGAAAACTCTTTCCCCCCATTATCCCCTCTCACCTCCCCTCTGATTACTGTCAGTTTGTTT